GTGAATCCGCTCACTCATCACACCTCTGGCTTACACCCCAGTTCTTGTATGAATAAATAAATAAATCTTTGGAAAAAACTAAAATAAATTGTTCTGGGATATTTTCTGTATATATAAGCAATTTTTGAATACATACTGTTATCATTACTTCTTACAGAAATAATAATATGCAATATGTGCTATTTAGCAACTTGGTTTTTCACTTAAAATAAACCTTGAATAAGAAAAAGAACTCTTTTTTTAAATATAATGTAATAGTTTATTTTACATCATTTTGTGTCTTTTTCCATCTCAGTTGTAACCCCCTGGGCTTTCTATCACCAAATCACCCCTGTGCCATCTCCTGTACACTCCCCCACCTTTTTTTTGATCCTATCCCTACTCCACCCTCATAAAATGTCTCTGGTATATAGTTGTTTACTATTATTATTATTATTTTACCCTGGTCCTTTATGCTCCTGCTATTAGTGAAGCCATCCAGTATTTTTCTTTTATTTTTTTGAAGATTTATCTATATATGCATACAGAACTGGGGTACAGGCCAGAGATGGAGGGGTTGTGAGAGGATTCCCCAGAGACAGAATGGGGAGCAGAACAGCAGGTCGTCCAAAGTACACTGCCCGAGCAGGGCAGGTCAGGAGAGGTCTGCCACGTCATGTGGATCTCCTCCGGGGCAGGAGGGAATCGAACTCACGCGAAAGTGGCTTTAGCTTCTTAGTGCTGTGCTTTAACCTGCTGCACTACCAGGAAGAGCCATTTTTCTTTTTTCTTTCTGGCTTATTTCACTGTCATGATCCCTTCCAGCTCCATCCATGTTTCTGCAAAAGGCATGAGTTTATCTTTTTTCATTGTTGAGTAATAGTCCATTGTATATAGGTACCACATCTTTTTAATCCAGTCATCTACTTTTGGGCATTTGGGTTGATCCCATGTCTTTCCTATTGTAAACAAAGCAGTAATAAACATGGGGGTACAGGTGTCTTTTTGAATTAGAGTTTTTGTGTCTTTTGAGTAGATACCTAGGAGTGGGATTGCTGGGTCATATGTAAGCTCCATTTTTAGCAGTTTTAGATACCTTCAAACAGTTTTCCATAGTTGTTGTACTAGTTTGCCTTCCCACCAGCAGTGCAGGAGAAGAATGCTCTTACTTTTTTATGGCCATGGAGTGTGCTTTGTAATAACACAGTGTCATATAACCAATTTATTAATAAACTGTCTACTAATGTTCATTAACAAACATTTAAGTTGTTTCCAGTGTTTTGCTATTACAAAGCTTGTGAGTGCTTGAACATGTGTGTAGATTAAAGTTTTAGAAGTGAAAAAAATTTAAATGAATTATCTTCCATAGAAGTTGTTGTAATTACAAATCTAACAAAATATGAGAGCACCTGTTAAAATATCACCACAATTACTACCTCAGAGTGCTTATCAATTTTCTAGATATTTTTCTAGATATTTTTCAATCTCACAGGTGAAAAATGGTGTTTAGAATTTTTTAAATTTGCATTTTATGAATGCAATCCTTTTGAATACATCCTTTTATGAATCAGATTAAACATTTAAAAGTCATTTCTACTTCTTTTTCTATGAGCAATCAATTCATGTCTTTTGTACATTTCCTCCCTTGGGTTTTTGTTCTTATGGATTTGAATTCTATAAATAAGTGTGAAAATTATCCATTTTCTATTATTATGTGAAATTAAATATATGTCATTGACTTCTTTTATGGTGATTTTTGCCTTGCAGACATATTTTATTTCTACATAATTGAATGCATCAATCTTCTTTTAAATCTAGTTTTATTTTGTACTTTAGAAGATCTTCCTTACTTTGAGATTATAAAAACTTTTCTCATGGTTCTTTCAAGGAATATAAATTAAAAGGTAAGGACAAAACCTTTTTTTAATTATGCTATGGAAGATTTTTAAATTTTTTTTATTTTATAACAGTTTATTTTACATCATTTTGTACATTTTTTTTTCCATCTCAATTGTAATCCCCGCGGGTTTCCCATCACCAAGTCACCCGCGTGCCATCACCATAATCCCGTGCACTCCCCCCCCCGTTTTTGATCCCATTTCCCACTCCACTCCCACAAAATGTCTCTGGTATATGGTTGTTCATTATTTTTGTTATTTTCTCACCTGGTCCATTATACTCCTGCTATGAGTGAAACCATCCGATATTTTTCTTTCTCTTTCTGGCTTATCTCACTAAGAATGATCTTTTCCAGCTCCATCCAAGTTGTTGCAAAAGACATGTGTTTCTCTTTTTTGGTTGCTGAGTAATATTCCATTGTATATATGTACCCCATCTTTTTAATCCAGTCATCTACTTTTGGGCATTTGGGCTTCTTCCATGTTTTTCTGATTGTAAATAAAGCAGCAATAAACATGGGGTACAGGTATCTTTTTCAATCAGTGTTTTTGTGTCTTTTGGGTAGATACCTAGGAGTGGGATTGCTGGGTCGTAGGGAAGCTCCATGTTTAGCAGTTTGAGGAACCTCCAAACAGTGCTATGGAAGATTTTTTTAAAGATTTATTTATTTATACATACAGAACTTGTGTAGAAACCAGAGGTGCAGGGGTGGTGAGAGGATTCACCAGAGACAGTGTGGGGAGCAGAACAGGCCGACTGACGAAGTACACTGCTGAGGGGAGCAGTGGGTGGGTCAGGAGAGGTCTGCCGTGCTATGTGGATCACCTTTGGGGTGGGGACCAAACTCACACTGAAGTGGCTGGGGCTCACTTGGAGTGATGTGTCCTAACCATCAGGGAGGGCCCAAGGTCAATACTTAATGCATTGACCTCTGGAGTACTGTAGTAGTTAGAGGTCACAGAAATGTGGAGAAACCAAGTGTACCCAGGGAGACAGAGGAAGATCCAAAGTAGCAGGGACTCATGGTAGCTAAGGAGAAGGAAATGATCAGCTGTATTTTGTGTATCTTGGTATGCCAAATGTCACTAAGGATTGACTATTGTTAGTAAATTAATGCATGATGAACTTGAGAAGAGCATTTTAAGTGGGGAGTAGAGGAGGTAAAAGTTTAAGTGGGTAAGGCATCACAGAAAGTGAGGGAAAAAAAAGCAAAGACATCAAGTATAGGATAGGCCACCTTTATGGGACATTTTGCTCTAGAACAAAGCAAAGAAATGGGGAAGAAGCTGGATGGGCAAGCTGGATAAATAGAGGTGTTTTGTTGTATCTACTATGATGGAATAAATTTATGTTGTTATCCAATGGGAATGAAAGGCAGAAACATGTTGATGTAGAAGAGTAGGGCAAAGTTGGATAGAGGTCTTTGAAAACGCGAAACAGCATGGAAATTAGTACTGTGTTACTCTTAGTGTGATAAGTGGACCAGCTGCAGTCACTTTAGTTCCGTTGGGTCCCCCGCCCCAGAGGTGATCCACACGGCATAGCAGACCTCTCCTGATTTGCCCATTGTTCCCCTCAGCAATGCACTTATGGATCTGCCTGTTCTGTTCCCCCCCACTCTATCTCCGGTGAATCCCATGCCTGCACCTCTGGCCTGTACCCCAGTTCTATATGCATAAATACATAGATCTTAAAAAAACATATATTTAATGGATCTCATATGAAAGAATCGGACCTAAAGTAGCCAAATCTATAATGACATGTGTGTAGGAAAGAATGAGGAGTTACCATTTAATGAGTATCTAGATTCAGTTTTGCAGGATGAAGAGTTCAGGAATGAGATGATGGTGATTTTAGCACAATAATAGGAATGTCCTTAAGGGCATTGAACTGTACACTTTTTTTAAAAAGATGGTACACTTAAAAGATGGTAAACAAAATCTGGGCTTGTATTTTGTATGCCATTTTAAAATTTCATTTCTCTAGTAAATTATCTTTTCTTATAGATTTGTGACTGATTACGGAAAAAACGCATCCAAAATTTCAGTGCAGATTGTTTGAGAACTAAGGAAGGTTGACCCTAATTAAAAGGCAAACAGGTCAATTGAATAAGGGAAGGAAGAAAAGGTATGAGAGCAGAATTACATTCAAAACAAGAGTTATAGGTAGGTTGGAAATCATAGTTAATGGGGAGACTGGTAACTTCTTTTTTATTAATTTTCTTTTTGAATTGGAAGTAAAATCATCAGGTAAGAGGATGAGGGAGGACGCGTGGGAAGTTTGAAGAGATGTAAAATAGATCTTTAGTAGGGTAGACTGTACAGAACTGAAGAAAAGTAGCAGTGTAATAAAGGTCTATTTGGGGATCGTGATATCCGTTAGTAAGATTTTGGATTTTTCTCCACGTTCCTGCTTTGCAGTAATTTCAGGATTACAGTTTCATAGGATGAATAAGGAAAAGAGAGGAAGACTGGAAAAATGAAGGCAAATGCCTGAGAATGATTTTCATGATAAACAATAGTGTCTGCTCTGTTGAAGGAAGGAGGTGAAGACATAAAGGTAGTGAAAAGGTCGTAACATCCATAGATTTTGAGTCTTGGAAGAATCGAATTTTTGAAGTTGAGCATTAAGGGGAATGAACTACAAAGGTAGGAGGTGGTGGGAGAGTTGTAAGTTTAAAATTGAGATATAGAGGGGTTACAACTATTGGTAATGAGAAGATACAAGGTGTGAGAATGCAATGATCCCTAGAAGAGAGTGAGTGACCTGACAGGTCCCGGCCCTGGAAGAATCATCGAAGATAACAAAAATCGCCAAGAATTGTGACATTAGCAAGGAATAACAAAGAACCAGCATCACAGGGGTCTATAAGTGATTGAAATGGGTGAGCGCGCTAGTCTTCTGTAATGACGTAATATTTAAAGCATCACAGTTAACGCGAGGCTCGACTTTGAAGAGGTGTGTTTCCTTAAAGGTCCTGAGGGGGGGACAGCGCGCTGGCCACCTCAGTTGAGGAGCATGCGCAACGAGAGCGGGGCGGGGCTAAACCCGAGGAGGGCGGGGTCACGGGCGGAGTCTGCGTGCGGGGGGCCCGACAGCGCTTTGCAGCTTTCTGGTTTGCCTGTCGCTCGCGTGTGCACGTTCACCTTCTGAGAAGGAGGCCAAGGCCTGGGCCAAGCCCGGAGCCGGCGCTCGCCTGAGCCTCCTGGAGCCTCCGCGTCTGCTCAGCTTGGGGGCGGGCTTAGGCCCGGCCCTTCGCCCAACCCCAGATCCAGGCTGCAAGCCCGAGGACCAGGCCGGAGCGACGATGGTGAGGGAGCGGGGCCTGCGGGGGCGGAGCCGCTGCCGTCTGCCACCCCGGCAGCCGAGGGCCTGACCCCTTCTTGCCCTGCCTTTATCTCATCCGTTGTGGTCCCCACCACTTCCTGAGCAGCCACCTCCCTCCCCCCTTCTCCGCCTTCCCCCCCCT